ATTTAATAGTGACTGTGGAGGACTGAAGACCCGACCCCTAAGACACGAGGCAGACATAGAGGAGATCAGAGCCCAAGGACCCATGGCCCGAGGAAAAGAAAAATGTCAATAATAAAAATAACTTAATTTAACTACGGATTAATTTAAGTTTATAACTATGGTTAACACTATTTACTGCCAGATTATTATTTACACGATTAAAGCGGTCCAAGCACTACAGGAATAATAAAAGTAAAGTAATACAACATGTTTACATGTTTTCAAGTGTTGGAGGTTAAAGACTCTGAGGAACAGACGCTAAAAGCGTCAACTTCCTTTTTTAGTGTGTGTGAGAGAGAGAGTGTGTGTGTGTGTGTGTGTTTCAGAAAGGTTAAATAAGTGGAGCAGTTCCGAGAAGCAAATAAAAAAAAAAGTTATTTAGAGTGTTACAGAGAAGGGGAGGCCCTAATCAAACAAGTAAAAACAGGGAAGCAGAAAATTTGATGACAGTTAATTTGAGACAGAATTCAAAGTAAGTTAAAGAAACACTACGGAAGGAAATGAAGCATTTAACACAACTGTCAAGTGGCTACTTTAATGAAACACTAAACAAGAAAACACAAGTTTAAATACTGAGCTGCATTTTTAGAAATATCCATCCATCCATCCATCCATCCATCTTCTGTACACGCTTCTTCCTTTTCAGGGTCGCGTGGGTCACTGGTGCCCATATCCAGCAGTCACAGTGCGAGGGGCAGGGTACACCCTGGACAGGTCGCAAGTCCATCACATTTTTAGAAATAAGAAAAATAAAATGCTGCCAGAGTGAAATCAGTTAGATGGACAAAGATATTATTTATAAAAAACATAAATTATGTTTGAAACATGTGACAGTAAACTCAGACCACGTCTACATATTTTCTCAAAATTATAGTTGTTTATTAGAATGCATCATTTTGACAAATTTGGTTGCTATGGCAACATTTTTAGAGGACTTCAATTTTTGAGGCATCATCACCATCTGTGTGAATGTTTTCATTCAGCCAAAAGACTCAAATAAACCCAAATTTATTCGTAGACTGCTCCAGTGAAGCTGCAGTTTTACATCAGCGCCACAAGGGGGCGACAAACACGCGTTAATCAACATCCACCAAAAATTATCAAAACTTTTTTTAAACGTTAAAAACACGTTTTAAAAATTGTAATCTATTTTTAAAATTTGTCACAGATAAGATCATTGTTAGAGCATAAAGCGTTTATTTTGCAATTTCATTTTTTAAATGAGTCTAAAACCATTTTTGATCTTCATGTTGCAGAAATGTGCACTAAAAATGTCACTTTATCGACTTAAAAATTTATTTATTCCCCCCATTTAAAACAGTTTTACTGGAGTGAAATAATCTTTTCATCTTTAAATATAACAAGTTTATTTAATGAACCTCTGAGAAGAGAACATTTACAGAAGTTACATAGAGTAGAAATGRATAGATATGTACAGTACTTTCAAAWCTGAGAAGGCTGCCTAATGATGTGTTTAACTGTCTTAAAAAGTATGTTTTTCAGTAACAAGTTTAAATTGCTTCACAAACTTCTATTTCCAGTTTAAATAACTTCTACATACAATCGTCAACAATCCAGAACTTAGACGAGTCCAAAATGTAGAACTTTTCCTAAATGACATGTTCAAAAATTCACACAAACAGAAAACAAAGCAGTCGTCTCAAACTTTCATTTAAATAAGTGAAAAATATTGTTCAGGGAAAACATTCCTCGCGTGTGACACTGCGGATAAACAATTTATATAAAGTCCTGCAAAATGAGTTTAACCGCGCTGACAGCTTTTGACACTTTTACAGTTGGAGCCAGAAAGCTAAAAATTAATTATTTAGAACCAGGAATTAAAATAAACGACAAACGAAAACTAAAATACTGATAAACGGAATAAAACCCAACAGTTCAGRCGTGAATGACTGATGTGTGTTTCAGATGAACATAAAGTTAAGAATGTTGACTCCAACATGGACAACAGGAGAGCACCYGGAAGTCTGCAGCTGAATTCACACAGGAAACAGAAAAACACCAGTAATCTTCACACATTTTAAAAGCATTCACGTTTCACCAGAATCAAATCAGGCTGGCTCATATTTTATCTGTTCTTGTCTGTCGATCGCCAGAAACGTACGTCTGGTCAGGGAGGGAACAAACTTTCCCCTCGATCAGCTGATCAAAACCTTTACCACACATTTCCAACGATGTGCTAAAAAAAAACGCCTACAAACATCCGAGCAACTCGGTTTAAAACAAAAGTAGCCACCTGTGTGAGAAGCAGAGGGTCAAAACAGTGACTGATTGAACCTTACGTTTTCAGAGGTCTGTTATGGAAATAAGTCACCTGGTATCTGCCTCTTTATCAAGCACCTGGGAACAGAACTGCACAGGTTTCCTCTGAGGGTGAAATGAGTACGAGGCTCAGTCTCTGTACAGTTCATGAGGAGCAGCAGCAGCAGCAGCAGGCTGGAGGAGGCTTCATCTCCAGTTGTGGTACGTATAGAAGCAGATGAACAGCAGGTTGGATGTCAGGCTCATCAACAGAAGGCCTGGCCAGATGAGACGCTTCACAAAACCTGCAGAGACAACAAAGCCAAAAAAACATTATTTAAAGCAAGAAAAGGATGGAAACACTCAATCACCAGGTCACTATTTTATTTTGAATCCATTTATTCACACTGGCCAAATAAAGTGAATAACACCACAATTAAAACAAACCACCTTTTATTGAAACAGAAACTGAATTATAATGGCAGGGTTAATTTTCTCCAAAGTGTATTTAAGGCTTTAAGCTACAACCTAACTTTGACCTTGTAACCATTGCTGACTAAATAATTACACTAAAATATGTTCAGCAGAGGAAACGAACAATAATGACACATGGTTTCATCTTGCACTACATGGAAATGGTTATAATATTTTGGCCCATAATAAAATATTAAAAGCGTTTAGGGACAAAACACAAACACCACTGTGTCTGTGTGTGGCTGGATGTGTCTCCCATCAGTCACACCAAATTCTTTTAACAATAGCTGTAAAATATTTAAACACCACTTCATTTCATTCCAGTATTAGTTCATCATCCTCATCCTCCTGATTCCTGCCTAATCAGTAAGTCGGTACCTTTCGGAGGAGTGAAGCCCTCAGGAGTTTGTGTTGTTGTGCCGACCTGGCACGCAGACGACTCAGAGGAGCTGCTCCGTTTCTCCTCCTCCTCAATCACACTGCCGTCTTTCCTCAAGGAGCACAAGTCTGAACAAAAATAATAATAATAAATAAATAAATTAAAACCTAAACCAGCAGATAACCCTTTTAGAACAGAGAAACCAATTCAAAGATTTAACATCTTACACTGCCACCTGGTGGCTGAATGATGAACTACACACAGTGTAATAAACATTTCTGTCCCCAGGTCAGAATTCTGAGCTGGACTTGCCATTTTGACTTTGGAAAGGAGAAAGGTCAGGACAGAGGCAGCTGCTGTAAACGGATGGGGCCGGATCCACGTAGGACGGAAACGGAGACGGGGGCGGAGACATGAGCCTCGGTTCTGGTTCGCTGGAGAAGAGACGGAGCTTCTGGCCGTTGATGTTGAGGCGAGCTGGACTGATGAGGGGCCGGCGCTGTCGGGCAGAGCCTGAACTGGACGTCACTGACCCGGCCACGGATGGCGTCGGAGAGGGGCCCGGGGATGAGGGACGGCTTCCGGACTTCAAGGAGAAATAATCTGGGCAGAAAAAAATAAAATTATATATATATATAAAAAGAAGAAAAACATCAATTTATAATTGAGCAGCTGCCATGTTACTTTAGAAAAAAAAAGTGCAGTTTTGGTACCGGAGGTTGTTGAGTCTTTGTACTGTGAGGCCGGTCTGCTTCCACTGAACAGGTAACCAGAATCTGAAAGAAGAAAACAGGATGTTTTCAGCAGAACTGTAAAAAAAAAAAAAAAAAAGTTAACTATTGCAACATGGACACACAATATACTGACTTAATTCAGATTCAAACCTATATAAGAAAATTTAAGGTTTTTCGGAGACAAACATTGTTTTAACTACACTTAATATTGAAAAAAAAATTAAAAGAGGTAATATATTTTCTAAAAGAAGCTCAAGGTTAAAAAAGGTACAGATTTCTATAAATAAATAATAGTAAAGCTAGTACTAACAGTTTTGTTAAGAGTAGACGACAAATTTTGACAAAAGTACTCAAACTTAAAACTTATTTTTGCTTCGTCAATCATGGAAGAAAAGTGAGTTTTTCACACAATTAGAAAGCAACAGAACCCAGTGGATCCTGAGGTTTTCTCTTTACTGTTCCGACACTGCTCAGGTTCACACACGTCAGCGTGAGGTCATCGAGCAGAGGCGTGCAGACCAGAGCGTTACAGGAAACGACCCGCTGACGGCCGAGGGGCAGCGTTACCTGCCCTGGTGAGGGAGGGGGCCGTGCCGAGGCAGAGGGCTCTGTTGAGGCGCCCGGGCAGAGTGGAGGGGGACGCCCGGCGCTCGCGGGGGCCGTGCTGGCGGTTGACGAGCTTGGAGAAGTTGGGGGGTGGGGAGGGGACGAAGGAGTCCACCACGTCCGGGGTGAAATAGGGAGGGGTGCCGTAGAAAGGCGGGACCGCAGCGCCGCCTGCGAGGTATCTGCAACACAAGAGCAACGTAATGGTCCAGTGCTGCCAACATCAGGACCGAGGAGCGGACAGTTCCACAAACTCAGGAAACTAAAATGTTTTATTGCTCATTTTGGCTCCGCTGGGATGAGAAATGACAATTTAAGGATTTTCTTTCATTTTTTAAAAAGTAGTCAAAATTTAAGACAAGCAATAAATATAATTCCAAACTACAACAAATATATTTTAAATTAGAGCAGCAAAACTGAAGCAGAAAGTTTATCAGTGAAAAGCTATTTATGCAGCTGATTTTATCAGCGTTTAGGACACGACTGAACACTTCAATAAAAGAGCAATGCACACCAACATGTAGCTAAACTAAGAAAAAACACTATTTTAATCAGAACAGCACAACTTTTATTCTAACAACAATGCAAAACAGTAAAAGTCAACGAGAAACATGAACACAAACAAGACAAAGCAGTTTTCTTTCTCTAACTGTTTATTATATTCCACATACAGCAAACATTATGGCATAAATACATAAATCTGGCTCCCAGTTACATTATCAGAGTTTGCTGTGACCAACCAGAAGCTTCATGTCCAAGGTCGAAACATTAACCAATCAGCTTCAAGTTTCCAATCACACACAGGATGTTGTTGTGGCTAACTGGTGTCAAAACAAAAACACAAAGACTCATCTGGGAAAAACTGAACTGTTTTAATACACTTTGGCATTTTTAATGATCAAAGCCCCTTTTATACACCGGGTCCAGGGTTCCTCCTACAGAATTCACATTTGTTGGCTACAAAGTTGAATATTCACAACAACACACAGCAATAACAACACACGTTGAAGGAAAACTATAAATACTTAAAAATGTGAGTTTAATAAAGAGTAGCTTAAACATAATTAACCTAAGTGAGTACAGTGCTTTAAGAACTAACTTCTTTACTTGGTGAGGATAACATTCGTACAGTTTATGTAAATACAGAAAGTTGAAAATTAAAAAAAAAAATAAAAAAATCTAGGCCTGATTTTATAAATACAGAAACATGGAGAAAACTGAAAACTTGTGGCATTCAACCTCTTGGGCACAGCATGTTAAACTTTGGCAAGTTGTGTTTTGCATTTACGTGCAAAAAGGTGAAAATACACCATACTACACATGTTTATACTAATATCCTTAGTAGAACCGTTCATTGACTTCTATTTATTTCCATAGCCTAAGTCTGACCCCTACCCTAAACCGAACAAACTCAATTCACACTTTAATCCTAAACCTACCCCCCCCACCCAAAAAAAAAAAAATGGAGTTCCACCGTATTACGACCAGTCTTTGGTCCCTATAAAGACTGCTGATCTTGACATGGTAAGTTTGTATACCAGAAATGGTCCTAAAAAGGTAACAAATACAAGTAAACACACACACACACACACACACACGTTTCAGGTCAACTGAAGTATTCAAATTCATATCAAAATACTCCATCTATACAGCACTGTTTTGTTTTGTGGCGAGTTTAGATTTTCAATAGTTTAAAATCAGCTTAAGATGCCTTCAAATTAGACATTATTAACAGAAGTCGCAGTACAAGATGTCAGTTTACTCAATAAGCTGAACCGAAATCCTTTTTTCATTTAAAACATCAACACAACAGCATGTAGTGTTGGACAACTAACAACACGACATGCTGTCAAATCTGTCCTTAAAACCAACAAATTACATCTCTAATGTCACAAATCCTCAACATCAACAGCTCTGAGGCATATATTTGAGATTGATACTCACTCCAGCACGCAAAAACAAAACAAAACAAACAAAAAAAAAAAACCCACGAGATTATTTCAACACTGGTACCTCCACACTAATCAGACGGGGGTCTTTGTAGTTAGTAACYTTATTTTTTCACATTAAAACTATTCCAATAAAATATCAGAGTAACTTAAACAGGCAAAAKGTGCAATGTTAGCGCGTGCAATATTCATTAGACGTTTGAATTAATTCAACAAGTTAGATTGTTGATCAGGCTTGAAAGAGTCAAGTGTTACTTCTAAGAAAATGTCACATTTTAAAGTTTTTACCGTGAGAATTACGACTAGTTTGTCTTCACTTGTTTAAGTTAAACGTAACATACATTAGGCAAAAAGAGAAACATTATGCGTTTGTGTTTACTGATCTGAGCACCTTAATATTTCAAGCACTGATCCAATGAAGTCGATAGAAACAGAAACTACTTTAAAGTCTAACAGCAAAAGCTAAACCAGACCATGTACCTGTCAGGTAGTCATCTATTAACAGCTTTCAGTAGCAAAATATCTAAAAACACAGCAACGTGTYAAAACTAAACATTTTAGTTTATGTGTCCAGGAGGAAATTTCATCCTTTCCCTTTTTTTTTGTATCGTTCTGATTTAAACACAACGCAGTCTGGATAATATAACAACACAATACAGAAATGAATCAAACCTGCAGAAAAAAGCTGCGACACGTTCTCACATAATGGGGAATTATACGAGTCATTTTCAAAGTGAGAAAAATATCAATTTGATTCTTAAAGTAAGAAATATTGTTTTCCCTCAACGCATAATTCATGAGCAGGAACAGAACAATGTGAGAGTAAAGGAGGCTGGCTACATGCACACAGCAGCATATTCCTAGTTTCTCAACATTTTGCACAATCCTACACAGAGCTAATGTTTTGCAGGCTTATTGGTGAAAATCGGGGGGAGCTTCWAGTAAGGATGGATACTAATATAAATAAAAGCAACYTCTACACAGAAATCATAGCAAAGCAGAATGTGGCACGAATAGCAAAGAGGTWCATCCTTTAATTTCTATGCACAGAGCAAACACCTCACCCCTCACACATACAAGGCTTTAACTCCAGACTGTCACTGGAGAGGAAATACTAACAATGTCAAGGCAGGTTTTCTAATAAAGATCATTTGAGCTTAGAGAATGAAAAGCATTGAATACTGGAACAGTTTTTCCAAAATCCTCCATGCTCTTTAGTCAGCTGTAGACGATGTGCAACACATGAATAAAAACTTGTGTCTTTATAAAAAGTAGTGTTTCATGCATTAATGTGTAGTTAGTGAAACAAATCCATCAAACTGTTAATAAGTACATTCATAACACTTTCAGATACTCGAGTAGTGTAGACTACAATGGTTAATATAATARTAAGTAGGAATGTGAATACTATTTTTAACATACTGGTTTGAATAAAAACAGCATTAATTTTATTTTAACTGGTGAAACATTTCAGACTGTTAAACAGGACGTTAGAATAAACTTTAACACGGCTTTCTGAGAACACACTAGGATTGTTTTCTCAAATGTGTAGCTCATAGTGTTTTTACTAACAATTCATTTTGGATTCCATGATTGAAACAGTTTCTCCAGTTTAAAAAAAAAGAAAAAAAAAAGAAAAAGAAGAAAACAGTGCAAAGCCGTTTCTTTTCCCATCAACTCTCTCATCAGGATTTACCATTCACATTTCATTATCTCATAGAATCATTCTCACAACAGAGAAAAACAGGACAGTGAAGTGAAAAAAGGACAAAAGATAAAACGGATTTCCTCAAATAAAAACCATGATTTTGTTGTACTGGACTAAGTGTAATGATTCAGTGTGATTCATCTGTTCTAACCCACTTTGAATCCTTGTTTACACCTAAACTCACGTTTTTAATTAGAGAACATGCAAAACGTTGTGGTTCTGGCTGGGCACCGAAATAAAAAGGTCTTTATTTGAGGAAACATGTTCAACTAATCAGTTATGAATTCATGCCTTTTGATCGGTTTACACAACGCAKGCAGAGTGAAGGCTCCCAACTCTCAGCCCCAACGTGAACACAAATTACTGCTCGGGTTCTGACCTTCGATATCTGGCTCTTCGCTGACCCAGCGGTTTGCGAGTCGCGGCGGCGGCGGCGAAGCTGACAAGGCAACAGAGGGAGATGGTCACGAGCTTGGCCGTGTCCATCCAGCTCAAGGCATTCGTCGCGTAGCTCTCAGCCAGGCAGAGGCACAGCATGAGGAACCACAGGACAGAGGCAACGGCATCGATTCTCCTCAGCCTGAAAGTGCACGAGACATGGGAAACCTGGTTTTGAGCGAAGTTTAACCAGCCCGCTTTAAAAGACAAAGACGTGATGGCTGCTTACCTCACAGGTCCTGCTAAGAAGATAGCAGTGAGACAAGTCAACAGGCCAGCAGAGACTACKCCCAGCTGGTTGTCCTTTCCGTGCTGCCACACCATCCTGGTATTCTCTAAGGCCTTGTCTGGGAAAAGCTCCAGCAGGTTCTGCCATGCAGACATCGCTGCACTGATGCTGTTGTTGGGAGTGGATTCGTTTTTGGATTGAGGCTTCGGAGGGATGACGCCGCCGCTTATCGTCTGTGGCCCACTCGGTGAGACAGCCTGTTCTGGCAACTCGTAGAGGGACGTAGCGAGCAGAAAAGCACATATGAAGAAGACGAGGACCCGTAACAGTATGACCCCTGTTGGTGAGGATAGAGACTGGGCGCTCTGTGGGAGACAAAACGTGGCTTTATTTTATAAACTGGTATTGTAGAAAAACATGCAACAATACATAACTGAACAATACAGATGAACACATCAGAAGAATTATTATTTGATCAGACTTTGCTCCTTGGTTTTACAGACCTTTACAAACTCCGTGTCGGACTCTCGAGTGCGTCGAAGCTGGTGGTTCAGGAGCACTGTGCGAAGCTGTCGGTTTTGGTATTTAATGTAATATTCCACTGCTGTCTGACATGGTCTGCATAACTTATATGTCTGCTCTAGGTGATGCTTGTAGGCCTCAATTTCCTCATCGTAGTTGTCCTAAACCAGAAAGAAAGAAACATTTTGATATTAACCATTTTACTGACGTTTGTTGTAATAATTAGAATAAAGACAAAGTRCATACATCGTCCCTGGGGATGTATGAAGCCAGTTGTTTGATTTTTGCAGACTGGTTGTTATTACACTTCCTGCACAGCAGCATCTGACAGTTAACCCACTGCAGAGTCTTGGGTGTCTCAGAGGATGGGAGGCTTCCGGATACACCGTGATTRAGATGCTCCATGTACTGAGCTGGGATGGGTTTGTTGTAATCTCCATTCTAACAAAAACACAAACAAGACCAGAACTATTAAAAAATGAATGCTTTAAAAACACAATTCATGTGYGTGATCTTAAAACTTACCTCTTGGAAACCATTGTARTGGTCACAGTAAGGGCAATCCCAGCAATTCCTGTTTCCATAAGGCACCACTGTGTTCTGATCACAGAACCAGCAGTTAACATTTGCATGAGTGGGCCTTTTTCTGTAAAACAAAGAAGCAATTTTTAATTAGTTACAAAGTTAATCCAATCAGCTAACATTTCTTAATGTGGGACCCAAAGATAAACATAATGACRTATACAAATATGAGATTTGCAAATATTTGATCTTCTTAGAGTGCAAGCTGTGCACTTTTGCAACAAAAAACTAGAAGAAAACTAAAGACCAAACAATTAAAAAAATATGGACTACCAACATGAAAKACACCACACGATTGTAATGCACGAAAGACCATCTTTAACTTCAGGTAATTTAGGATATTTGAGCAGCAAGAAATACACAACAACACATTCAACCGTAGTTCAAAAARATTAACATGATCAGAGGAGATTTGTTCAAGTAAAATATGCGGATTAAAGTAACAATTTGAGTTACAAGTGCGCCTATTTAAGTTGATGTTTTTATTTTTACTAACCTGCAACACTCCAGTAGCGTCCACATTAAATTTCACCATTAATCAATAAATAACACGTTGCGAACAAAGTTTAAYGTAAGTAATTAAGCTCATAAACCCAAACGTCGTTTGTGCCGATGWACTAATTCCAAGATTTAAAAATGTCAACAAACAGGTCCATGACTGCACTTCTTCACATGATTAGCACGGCTAGCAAAGTTAGCATTGCATTCAAGCTAGCGACACTCGCCATTTGACTAGTTGTGATCAAAATCAAACGAGTTTACAAGTCCCGTTCTTGTAAATACATTTTCTAATTAACTAAAAGTAAATGCATACATGTTAAATGTGATAAAATCAAAATGACAAATAGCTGAAATTTTAAATCAAAACGCGTTCGATCAGAACCTAAACATTACCGACCTGGTAGCAATCTTGTATATCAACGCTCCGCCTGCAATAACCGCCGTAGCTCCGACTCCGCTGTACATTAATTCAGGATATTCAACCAGAAGCTTGTTAAATGTTTCCATTTTTACTGAAATCAGTCTCAGGATTGTTTATTTTTTTTAACTGTAGGGACGCAGAACACAGCGCAGGAGCGCGGTGCACGCGGTAAGAGATTCCTTTTGTTCACGCCCATGCAACGGAAACGGAATGTGCGTAACCACCTGGCTGCGTTCCATTTAACTTTAGCCCTTTTATTCTAGTTCACCGTTTGCTGAAAAATGCATTATATTTCATATTATTACTTGTGTAGTTAATACTTAAGCATTTATGATGTTTTTTTTTAAATAATATGTGTTTTAGTATAAAGCGTATTTTGACTCTTCGTGAAGAACAATCAGCATAAACAGAATTGGAATACGGCCTAAGAGCCGTAAGCTTTATGCTGCATTCGATGATAACTCGGACTATAAAGTTTTATATCCAAGCCAAAAAAGTAACTTGAGCGTTAGGAATTTACAATTTTTTTAAAGGTAACTCGAGTGGGGGTTTTAAACATTACATCCCGTTTCTTTGCAGCAATAATTTCAAATGCAGACTTTCGCGGTGAAATCTAACTCGTTCTTCTGGAACTCCTCATCACACATCGGACCATAATGCTMTCTTTCATGCACTGTTTGTTTTCTCATTTAAGTAAACAGCATAAGTGTTTATGAGCGTTAGATGTTGATATCAAAGCAACTATAAAGTCTTAAGGGCATCATTCTACTTACTTAACGAATATGTTCCCCAAATTCCGACGCGCTTCAAACGCAGCATGATGTGTGCGGTCAATCTGCATTTTAAATCAAACTGAGGTCTGTTAAATGTTTACATTTCCACTGACATTTTAGCTCGTAGGCTATAACCTTGAGAGCTGGTAGGTAACTCAGTAATTTTAGGGTTAAATTTAAACTGTCTTTTAAGGAAGTTAAAGCCCCCACAAAAAGTTTCAGCTTGCGTTAAAACTTAACTTAATCACCAATATTTATTTATTTTTTTCTATTACATTTGCTGATTACATATATCATTGTAATGGGTTATAGAATAAGCATATAGGCCTTTATGAATATTCAAGTTTTTTTGTCCATTGAGAACAAATAGATCATCAACATGGACTTGTCACATTCAGTTATAATTTTAAATCTGTTCTCATTTAGTTTTTTAAAGTAAATAATTTGCTTGTTCATACTTATAAGAGTAAGATATTTTTTATGATTTTTAATACTGACACAAACCATTAGCTTAATAAAAACACAACATAATAATAGCAGGGATTGAGTCGTGCAAAAATAYCATTTTTATTTTAACAAATACAGTGTAGGCTCGTTTACTTCAAGAAACATTCAGAACAAAAATAAAAAAAGATCAGTGCTTTATTTCCATCAAACGAGCAGCTCCAACTTAGAGTAAAAAAAAAAAAAACAGACAATGATGGAAACAAATAGCCAAAAATAAAGTAGTGCAAAATCAAAATAACTCATACTTTATGAGACATTATCACAAACTGTCGTTTCCATTTCTTTTAAGACTTCTTAATTGTAATTGATTTGATAATGAAACTTCATCTCAGCGAGAAACAGGTGGGATAAACCAGTTTTGAACCTCCTTCAACCATCAACCATCAGCCCCCTGACAAACCAGCAGGACTGAAATGTTAAAACATGAAACGTCGAGTCTTTTAACCTGTGTTCAGGACTCAGAAACTCAGGTCCCTACAGGTCTGAGAAATAAGCCAGCGGCGCTTCTGCTTGCCTCACGTAGGACGTGAACTGCTGGTAGTTGCAGCCCACAGACACGGTGCCTGCGTCCGGACTCACGGGCTGGGCCACGCCGCCGTACGGGTAGCCGTTGTGCGGGAACAGAACCGACGGGTGCCGGTTGTACGCCCCGTACACCGGGTGGTGGAGGTGCGGGGGCGTGTAGTAGGAGCCGCCGGTGTGTCCGGAGACGGCCTGCGGTCCGGGGTAACCTGTCTGGGTCGAGCCGGGCTGGCACAGCCCCCATGAAGCACCGCTGGCGTACGGCTGCAGGTAGAGCGACTCGGGGAGCTCCGCGGGGGGTCCTGCCAGGTAAGGCACGCTCGAGGGTCTGTAGGGTCTCCTTACTCTCCTCCGGCGCCGGTAGTTCCCCCTCTCGAACATGTCTTCAAACGCCGGGTCCAGCGTCCAGTAGCTGCCCTTCCTGTCCCCCCTGTTGTCTCTGGGCACCCTGACGAAGCACTCGTTCAGAGACAGGTTGTGTCTGATGCTGTTCTGCCATCCCTTCTTGTTCTTCTCATAATAAGGGAATTTAGAGATGATGTAATGATAAATGCCGCTCAGCGTCACCCTCTTGTCCTCYCTGTCTTTAATGGCCATGGCGATTAGAGCCACGTAGGAAAAGGGCGGCTTCTCCAGGGGGAGGCTGTCCTCAGGTTTGTCCCCGTTGGAGCTGATGTCCTGGAGCTGCTCTCCCTGCTTCGCGCTCTCCTCCGCGTCCATGCTGCAGGTGTGCCCGTGTGAGTCTGTGCGTCCCGCCGGGCAGCAGGCAGCCATATGAGCGGTCGGGCAGGTGCGCCTGACTCCGCCCACACATGGGGATTTTCTTCACAAAGTGCCACTCAGCTGCTTTCATCTCACTATTTTCTCACGCTGTTTACGCTCACTGTTTAGATTGAGTCGAGGGTCATAAAAGTATTGTTTTTAAAGCAGCCAAAAAATATTGTGACTTTGTGTTGTGCACGTGCACCATCAAAGACTTGTTGCACTTCAAAGGTTGAGCTCATTTTTTTTGGTCCGAGTCCTTTATTGTAACAGGTGGACTAAAGGTCATCTCCAAAAAATGTTGACCTACAATGGCGCTGTTATCATTCATTCATATGTTTACTCGTGATGTGCGACAAAAACATGTCATCKTCAAAAACACGTGTTGTGATCAATAATTGAAATAAAATAAAAACGATGCTTACAAATCTTTTTGTAAACTGATAAAGCTCAGTTGCTCTATGACATTTGTTTTAGAATTAACCAATTTAAAGTGTTTTTTTTTTTTTTTTACAAATCTGACTTTAACATGAGAGAAAAATGCAATAGAATGTAATGCAGGGTTGCAACCAAAACACAAGAAAAGCAAAGTGTGTTAATATAGATTTATGTCACATTAAAAAGTTGGATACATTTTTATTTTCAGATTTGARAATTTAATTACTGTGATGGACTTGCACCCTCGCACATATTAAAAACTAAACATCTTCCACACAAAGACTCTGATACTGCAACTTTTGCTGAGGAACACACTTTAATTRTGCCCATGACACCTGAGGGCCTCTGTTCAAATAAGGCATCTGCTTTAAATAAAATTAAATGAAATTACAGTTATAATTCAAGCCACTCCTTCAACTTCTGTCTCAGAGTTTTTCACATTCAAAGCAAAAACTGATGTAATTTTAGAGCTTTGTCTATCAAAAACAGTGAATATTTAAAAAAACTGTTATCTTGTAAAAGGTTGAGAAGTGTTTAATACGAGTCAGTAAAGATTGTGATTTTGCAGAAATGAGTCTGTGAGACGACAAGTGTACAGGAATTTAATAAAATGTTGCAATATTTAAGCTAATTTTGTGGACCAACATTCAGTAGTACATTATTAAATGTAAAATSAATTGCTGTATTTGACCATGAATGGTAAATAAACACATTATTATCATAATGACATCATAAAGCGAAGATATTTCCTGCTTCGAGAAGTTGCACYCTTTAAAATGTCTTTGTTCACAGATATTTGAAGGGAGAGTGTAGTTAACTAAAGCTAACTATATAGCTAAAACTGAAATTGAAAAAAAACATTTTAGTTAACTAAAATAAATAAAAACTGTAATAAAAAGAAAAAACAATAACTAACTAAAACTGTACAACCTTTTTTTTTTTTTACAAAACTAACTAAAAACTAACTGAAATTACAGATAGAATATCCTTAGTTTTGGTTTATGTCACTTTGTTTTGAGCCATGTTGATTTTTTTTTTCTTCCAAATTGAGTAGTTTCACATTAGCTGTGGTCAGTAACACTTGTTTACAGTCTGCTGCACCTTCCAAATGATGACAACAAAAGTTGGGAGAAAACAACAATGTCCACTTTGGGATTTCTTTGAACTGCGAGAAAAATCAAAGCAAGTGTCTTGAAGTGCTGGAATACTTCTCACGGGAAAACTGCAACAATCAAGCTCACACAAGACGGCTAACTATGAGTACCTTGACACCCCAGCTCATTTGAAAAACAAGCAAAGCACCGCGTTGGAGACAACTATTGTCAACATCCTAAAACAATCACCCAAGACCTTAGTTGGCTAAATTGAGTTAGGCAATTATTTTGGGAAGGTGTCGCTATAATGGACTGCTTTAACTAGTGACCAAATACATGTTGGTTAGTTAACTCCTCAGAGGATGCACTGGCAAATATGTTTATTCAAACTATATATATATATATAATAATACTAATACTAGAACTAATAAAAACTAAACTAAAACTAAGCATTAAAAAAGCAATAATAACTAAAACTAGCAAATCCACTGTAAAAACTAATGAAAACTGACTGAATTAAAAGAAAAAAAAGGCACAACGAAATAAAACTAAACTATAATGAAAAATCCAAAACTATTATAACCTTGGAGAGTTGGTACACCAAGGTGGAAAACTATTTTTCTCCAGTTTTGCATTTTACATCTTATGAATTACAGTATATCAGTTTTGATCACAAATAAGTGATTTTACAGAACATAATGTCAATGTTTAGTTAACTTAGTTAACATACGTCTTTTAATTATTTTATTTTTTTTGCACTTAAAATGTCAAAAATGCTGTTAAAGCCCTCAAGATTGCACTTGAATAAAAAAATCGTAAAATAACAAAACAAAACACAAAAAAAAAGAATTAGGATGAGCTGGAAATTGGATCAGTGTGTTTGGACTTTTTCCCTGATGGCAGCAAGGATAAACTCTGCCTCCTGAACAGGAATAACCAGGTATATAATAAACAAAWGAATGAGTGTGTCGATGAATGAGTGAGAGTTTTTGTTTATCGGCTGGCTGATGCTCGGTCAGTAAGAAAATATGTAAAAAAGGAATGAGACACACGACTGTTAGCAAAAAGCGTTTCTGTAAACTGTARATTGTTCTGTTGCGGTTTTATTTATTTCTAATGTAGTGCAGCAGGTTGATGGCTGATGGAACAAAGAGCTGAAAAAAAAAACAAATGTAGAAAATTTTACCAAGTTAAAAACTGTTGTTTTATGACACGTTATTTTAAATGAAAAGATACTTGCATTTAAGTTTTAGTATATTAAAAAACGTTTTGCATGCTCAATCAATCAATCAATCAATCAATCAATCAATCAATCAATCAATCAATCAATCAATCAATCAATCAATCAATCAATCAATCAATCAATCAATNAATAAAATTGTTAAAACAGGCATCCCTCTGCCAATTTGTTATTGCTCTGAACACAGTCTAAAAAAACTAATTTTTAGAGTGCATGTAATTAATTCATTTTTTAAAATGAAAACAAGCAAACTGCTTTACGTTTACTCATCTCTATTTAGTGGAACCAACTGAAATACCTTGGTGAAGTCAATTCAAGATTTCATTTTTCAGAGTGCAGATTAAAATTTATTTCAAAGTATAGACCATGAGATTTGTCACAACTTGGCTGAAAACTCTTTTAAGGAGCCCAGGACCCCAAATAACAACAAAAAAGTGTATGAGTTTATAAATGTAGGAATATTTTTTAGTCACTAATTTTAATAATAAACACAAAGAAAAGCAAAAAATCAGACCGAAGATGAGAAAAAAAGGAATAAAAAATGGGTGATTTCATCTCTTTTTTTGTAGCCAAGCAGCAGCCAGGTGTGATGACTTCCTCCTCACCTTGGCGTGAMAAGCTCCGCCCACTTTTTCAAATCAGGAAGTCCCCTGCTGTCATGCCAAAGATACCTTTTATGCACAAATAACTGAAGAGTTTCACCTGTCTAGAACGTCAGCTCACCTCACGCAACCTTTGCTAAATAATAATGTGTTTGTGCTACAAGGGTATTAAAGCAGCAGAAACGAAACACAATTGTCTGTGAGATGAATGACATTTAACTGCAGACAATTTTATTTTCTGGTCCAACTACTGGGAGATTCTTCTCTGGTATTCTCAGACTTCCACAGCACAAACTGATCTGATTGTTACATTTTTCTCATAAATGGTAACACTTAACTTTTGTGTTTGTACAATAGCCAGTAGTGGCTCATGAGCATATACAGAATAGAATAGAATAGAATAGAATAGAAACAGTCTTTATTGTCCCATGTGGGGAAATTCAGGTGTAGTAGAAGCAGCAGATACATGCATCAATCCACAGAAACAGTAAATTGCTATGTGACATTATCAGCTGTAGCAATAATAATAGAATTAAAGATAGTAACAATAGAAATAAACATAGATCATAATAAAAGTAAGAATAACCATTACTGTAATGTGCTATCAAGATGAAATTGGGTAAAAACTAAAAATAAGGCAAGATACTGTGCAGAAAAAAAAAACAAATTACAGGAAAAAGATGACAGACTCATGATCCGAGTGGGTGTGCAAAATGAGTCGAACTCAGTCTGTGAGCGGACATCAATTTACTTTATCAAAATCAACACAAATGTTACAATTTGTGGCACATTTTCTGTGAAAATATGAACGTTCCTGTGTTTGTCGTGAAATGCTCAAAGAAATGGAAAAAACAAAACAAAACCAAACAGAAATAACATCTTAGAATCTACAGGGTTCAGGGCTCATACTGAACAAGTAGGACTTGTTCAGAAGGGCTGCCAAAAGTAAGCCTGCACGTTTTAAAAAGAATATGGCAGCAGAGCTTAGGGTTACAAAGTTGCAAGACTTCTGGAATGATATCCTTTAAAVAGACAAGGCTGAACTTATCACACTAACTGTCAAGCACGGTGGTGGAGMGCTGATGGTCTGGAACTGCTTTGTAGGCATGGGGTTGGTGCAGCTCCAAACACTGAGCTGATTATAAACTCCTCTGTAGAAAAACATTTTAAAATATGAAGCCACTAGTTTTAAATTGGGTTCAGGTTGTGTCCACAATATATAAATAAGCATCATGTGAAAATGGATGTTTGTTTAGATAAGAATTCAATTTATCACAGCTGTCAAAACAGAAAGATACCAAAGCTGACAACAGAAAAAGTCTTTAAAACACTAAGAAGACTGCAAGGAAGGAAGGTGGCATYGGCAGTATAGGCAAATGCTAGGGGCACCGTCTATCTAGGATGCATCACAAATGGCGGACAAAAATGTCTATAAGTTTTTATTTGAGTCTAGTTTGTCTGTAGAATAATCACTGATGATCAAGTTTATAAAGGTAACTTGTCCTGCTTTGTTAAAGTGTTACATGTTGCAGAAGAAATTTCATTATTTCGTGATAAAATTATCAWATGATGCAGTCAAGATGATCAGTGTGTTAACAGAAAACAAAATAAGGATAATGGAAGTTTCAGTTTTGATCTCAGGTTC